CTGACCACTTGCTGATGGCACTTCCTTGGTTCTTGTGGCTCCACTGGCTGGAAAGCTCAAGATACTGATAAGGGCTGGAACAAGCAAGAGCTTCTTCTTTTGTCTAGCAATAAATGAGTGCAAATTATTCTTTCTTCTGCTATGCAAGAATATCCTGCAAGCACTGCCACTTTGCAAGATGTATTTTTATTTCTTAAGACATTTACATAATGAAGCCTCCACAGGCTTCATTCTTCCCCTCTGCAAAGAACAGGTCCCAAATAAAACTTGTATCACACTTTCCAGGCTCAGGTACCTTACGCTGGATGAAAAGGGGATGCAGAGCAGAATTGCCCAGCAGGAATGGTGAGGAGCAAACAGGCCTCATTCTGTGTGGTCACCCCGTAGACCTCTACCAGGGTTGCAGACCTCATCTTGCAGTCTTCACTCAGACAACACTCCCATTGACTTCCACAGAACTTCTGTCTGAAGAAGGATGCAGGATTTGGCCCAGAAGTTAAAAAAAGCCTTCTCAGCTTTCAAGTGCAGATGATTAATGTCCCAGAAACAGTGGGCAGAGGTTTGGCACACTGTATGAAACTGACTTAAAGCTGACATTTTGCTGCTCTTTCTCGGCCTCTGTGCTGACACAAGCCCGAGGCCTGAGACGCTGGATCCACCATGGGCACATCCCACCTGCCACAGGACTCAGCTGAGGCACAGAAATGACCTTGCAAAGGACTGAGTCCAGGCTTTTACACAAGCTGCCTTCTATCTCTGCAAATCTGCAAAGGCTTCTGCTTCCAAGTTTTGGTTGCCACTCAGCTAAAATCCTGGGAAGCTCCTCACAGAGTTGAGTGTCTCCATTACAGCTCCTCTTTCTGAAAGCCTGTCATGCACAGGCCACCCTCCCTCAAAAACCATTCCCTTACAGGCTCTCACATAAAAAGGGGTACCCTGCACCAAAACTGTGGCATGTACAGGCTCTGAGAGGAGAATGCAACACAAGGAAGCAGTTGTGCATCTGAGATTCTGAAGAGGATACAAGAGAAGAAATGATGAGCACACCCAAGGGTAAGGAAATAATGCCCAGCTCTCTCTCCAGCAGCAGCGTGGCAGGCTCTGCACACACCTCTGCAACCACTGCCCTCTCCCACTCCTTCCAGCAGTGATTCCCTGGCTTGGAGCTCAGCACAGGTGACTGGCCAACCCCTGAGAGATCACTTCCAAGCTGTGCAGCACTGTGCAAAGAGACAGAGGAACAAAGGATGCAGAGGAGTAAAGAGATGGAGATGTGGGCAGGGTGGAAAAGCAACACAATCCCAGCGAGCAAAACAAGGATGATCTCCATTGGGCTCACAGCTGAACAGGAACATCCCATGCTGAAAAATCCCAGAATCATTAGGGCTGGAAGGGACCTCTGGAGATGACCCAGTCCACACCCCTGCCAAGGCAGGGTCCCCTGGAGCTGGTGACACAGCAGCACATCCAGGTGGGTTTGGAATCTCTCAAGAGAGGGAGGCTCCAGGCCCTCCCTGGGCAGCTGCCACCCTCAATGTACAGAAATTCTTCCTCACACTGAGGTGGAACTTGTGTTTTAGTTTATGGCCACTGCTCCTCATCCTGTTGCTGAAGAAGAGCCTGGCACCATCCTCTGGCACCCTCTTTGAGATATTTATACACATTAATGCAATCTCCTCTCAGCCTTCTCTTCTCCACACTAACCAAGCTCAGCTCCCTCAGTCTCCCCTCCTAAGAGAGAAGCCATAAGCACCACTTAGAGGCCCCAAATGCATCCTCTTGGTGCCTAGAAAATCCAGAAGCATCCTGAAGGAGATTTTTGGCTTGCACAGGGAGCCACCAGTGGGATGAGAAAACAATGACATGGTGACAGATCAGGCCATGCCAGTGTATAGTGCCCATCTATGCACTCTTACTGCACAGTGAACAAGGCAGCTGGAGGAAAATGCCACTTCCATGCCCTCCTAATGGAAAAGAAGACTCCTGAAACCTTTGTGAGTACAGAGCAATGAAAGAGAAAACTTTATTCAGGAGGACACACAAGCTTCTGTCCTGCTCAGCAGCCGTATGCTCCGATGGGACCAAGGGCAAAGAGGGAAACATTCCAATTCCAGTCATGCTCATGTGAATCATTAATCACTGCAAGGACTGGGGAGAGGCCATGGGTTTATATCCACGCAGCTTGGTTCAGGAACTGGGCTCAAAATAAAGGCACAGAAACAGAGAGAGTGCCAAAGTGACCAAACATGACTGAAAGGAATATGCAGAAGAACGGAATATCACCTCCTTTTGGGGAACATTCAGATGGAAAGGAGAACAGTGATGAGTATCACTGTGATCCCACACATCCAGTAACTGTTCATGGCTGCTTCCCTCTTCATTTACTGACACTAAGTGCTGCAGGACTGAGATCAAAGCCAGCTCTGTGCAGGCAGGGAACACCTGGTAAAATGTCGTTGCTGGGAAATTAAATGGAGCAGTTGCTGAAGAAGATCTAAGGCTGGGGGAGAAAAGTTCAAAATATGCCAGATTTTGTATGATACTTTAAAGTAAAGCTGAGAAAGCTGTGCTGAGATGAATCAGGAAATAGAAAGAGATTCACTGCTGTGCTCCAGACCAGAGCTGTTAGCCAGGCAGCCAGGTCAGCTCTGGGAATAGTAAAGAGTCAAACTCAGCCTAAAAACACACATGGGGAGCAAGGGAAGAGGGAGCCACATGTCAGAGGAGGTCCTATTGCTGAAAGGAGGCAAATGGGGAAATGAAACACCAGGCTTAGCCTGAGCTGGCAGAGAGCAGCAGCTCTGAGGGAAAAAAAGAAGAAACAGAGTGGCTGATGAGAGCTCTGCAACAAACAGGACAAGGAAAGGAAATGACAACTGAATCTGGACGGGAAGTCTGACAAGAAGGGGCTTTTCTTCAAAGAGTGGCAGTGAAAGGGAAATTTTGTAGTAAGAACATTTCCACAATGGAAATTGAGGTAGCAGTTCCCAGGTAATGTGGGAATGTGGTATTGAGTGCTTGGGTAAGATCTCTGCTTTCAAAACGAAAAAGTGTTGTGGGTCCTCCTCAAAACTACACAGTGGTCTGTGGACAATGGCATGAGAAGAAAAGGAAATCTCCAGCCAGCACCACAGTGCCCTCACTTTTGGGAAGCCCTGTACTCAAAAATTATCTCTTTCCCTTTCAAGGGAAGAAACTTTAATTTGTTGTCTCTTTAAACTCTACACAAAGGACCTCATTTCATGCACTGGAAACATACAACATGAGAGGCAGGTCACATGGGGGACACACGAAGGAACTGCATGACTGGGCTGAAGGCTGGAGAGGGAGCACTGCTCTGGATCTCAGTAAAAGGACTTCTAGAGCATGGAGCTAACCACCAAATAATTCATGGAGTGGAAAGAAGCCATGGACTTTGGACACTCTTTCAGGGACCACAGTCTTGCAATGGTTTGGTTATATGGAAAACTTTAAGGGCAAAGGATTAATGGACCAGAATTTGACATGTTAAATCATAATGAAATTCTAAGGCTCTCAAGAAAATGATGTGCTGGATAAAAAAGCAAACAAACCAGAACACTATTGGAGGAAGTGAAAGCAACAAGAGTGGGAAGATTGTCAGGTTTGGAAGGCAACACGGAGCTGTACTGCAGTTTGATGGTTGAGGGTGTGAAGATCCAGGGAAATGTCCATGGGAAAGACCATCTTTTTCATATCATACAAGGCAGAACAGTGAATGCATCCTAAGTAAGGGGAGAAGGCAAAGAAATCACCCAGAGTGATCCTGCAGAATTTGAGCAATATTTCTATTGAGTCCTGTGGTCTTTGGTCTGAAAAGGATCACGGAGCAGTGGGAAAAGAAGGGAAGGTCTGAGCATCATGGCAACCAAAAAGTCCATTACCCTAACACAGACCATATACAAATCTCTGAAACAGATCAACTGAGATAGAAAGAATTGGCCAACATTGTAAAAGCAGTCACTACACCTTATATACAAGAAGCAGGCATTCAAACCCAAAAGTTGCACCCCGTCTTCACTTCCCCTCTGCAAACACACAGGCAGAACAGTTCCTATCACAAAGGACTAGGTACATCAAACTGGTGAATTCAAACACTGAGCCATCCACTACTTGATAATGACTCTGGAAAACACTGCATGCTGTTTATCTAATTCAGGTCCAGCTTCTAAAAAGTAGTCTTACCATTAACCCTTCGGATGAAAATTCAGAGTACACTAATTCTGTAAAAGTAACTGAGGGAAGAAAAACCCAAACAACAAAGTAACACAGAAACAAAAATGAGTGTTTTGCAGACAGGTCAAAATTAAAAAGCCTCTCTTTTACAGAGGCAATTATTCTCACAGAAATCTTCAGAAACTGTGTTCAGCTTTGTGACAAAAAGGGAGGGCAATGCTTCCCTACAAAACATGGTAGTTTCACTGTTTTCTTGGGGTGAAGATAGCAAAAAATCCCATTTTTTAAAAAAAAGTAATTACCTTTTAAACTGTCATTCCCTGTGCTTCAGGGATGTGGCAGTACCACATAAATGGTAAAATACACAATTTTGCCTTTCATCTGGACAGAGTCCAGTTAATGAAAAGTTTATGAACACATTCATGCAATGCATTAGCTGAAGACATTTTGGGCTAATGTGCCATAACAGCTTCTGTATTTGGAGCTCTCCTTACAAAGGATCTGTGGCTCTCTAAAAGAAGCAGTGAATGGGCAAAATAAAACCCAGGATGCTCTAATCCAGCCTTACAAGACTTCACTGCAAAAGCACCACACATGTCAGCTGCACTACGGGTCACTACTACAAGAATTTTGCCCAATGCACAGTTTTGGGGCCTGATTCACAACACCCTTTGCAAACAGTCCCATGGGATTTAGCTCCTCTTCCCACATCATGTAAGGATGGAGGGAATGAAGCACCATCAGGAACAAATCTGCCCTTCCAACCACACTATGAGCAGCAGCAGCAGCAGAGCAGCTGAGCCTACCTGTGGCACAAAGGGCGATGAAGGTTTGTGCATGCTTCCGGATCAAAAGCAACTTGTCTTTAGGGAGAGGCACCTTCCTTAGGATGTGTTCAATGAAATCGTGTGGGGTGACGGCTGCAAGGTTCCACTTCAACTTCCCCAGCACCACCAGCTCCCATTCCTGCAGAGGGTGGACAGGGAGAGCACAAGACAAGAAAAGCCATAAGCAAGCCTGCGAAAAACCTCTGCTTATTTCTTATTATAACTTTATCACTGCTAAATTTGTTTTGCTCAAACCTTTTTTTCCATACGCCTCTACTGCTTTGAAGTTGTTGACTTTATATTCTTTTTTTTTTTTTGAACACCAGAAATGTCAGGCTCTACTGAAAATAATGAGACCTGGCAGCTCCTGCCAAGGTTTTTTTGTTGTTGTTGTTGTTTTTTTTTTTTATCCAGTGCTGAATGCCCACCCAGAAAGTTTAGACTGCAATTAGATATAGCCAAGGTCACTGTGGTCCTTTCCTAGTAACTTCTTTTAAATGGCTATAGTCCTTACTTTATAGCCATTTAAAGCCCTAGGGACAGCCATGCACAAAAATAACCTAGATATACATTCCTTTTCTCAAAACTGGGGAAGTTGGCTTGATGGCATTGCCTCCCAAAACTGTACTCCAAAGGTCCTGCAGATAAATCTGATGGTGCTTAAACTACTCCAAGAGAGGCTCTGCAGAAAGGAAACACACACAACACAGCCAAGAAGTAGCCTGTGTAAATTATCTGCCAGTAAATCATGTAGGAGCCATTCCCAGATTCTTTGCACGCCCAAAACTCCCACTGCAATCAAAGGAAAGCTTGGGCGTGTACGTAACTACCGGCCATTCCCTGAAATGGGATTCCGTGTGCAAACAGCACCCAGATCCAGCCATGGGGTGCATGACCTGCATGTTTCAACATTTAAACCGAGTTCTGAACACCTCACAGTGCCCCACAGAGTGAGCAAAGCTCAGGCCTCCAGCTCACATTTGTCTCATCCGTCAACTATTAGCTATTAACTAAATTCCACGCACTGATTCCCGAGTCCTGATGATGCCTGATGGAGCCCAGCGTGGTGGGGAGCCCCAGCTGAGCTGACAGAGCTGGCAAGTCAGGAAGAAAAAAAAAGTCCTTTAATTTTGCAGCCGCGGAGACGTCAACCAGCGTTGCTGAGAAACCATAAACATGGACCCCACAATGCCATTTCTGCAGTCCTTTCCCTGAATAGATGCCCACTTTAACAGCAAGTTACTTTCCTACGGACATTCCTGCTGGATTATGACAGAGCCCTCCATGCTCTGAGAAATCTCACAGATATGCAAAAGGCCGCAGAAACCAGACGGGATTTTTGAATTTCTCAAGAAAACCTGTAAAATGTTGGAACATAACGATGATTGTGTGAACTCAAGGCCAGCTCTTCCCAGCATTACTGATGTGACAGGTTTTGAGACAGAACAGTCAACCCAGAGGACCAAATACAAGGAAGCACTTTAAACACATGCTTAAATCCACGTGGCACAAGAAGGTTAGGGATGTTGCTCTGCATAACTGCACATGGGGACCACGGCACTTCCCCTGCCCATCTGTGCCACCAAGGGGACTGACACCTCATGGTCCTGCCAGCCAGGCAGGATTTGAGGGCAAGGCTCTTTAACTCTGTGGAAGCACGAGCTATCAACCCCAGCCCCACCCCAGGGGGAATTCCCAGTGCTTCATAGGAAAAATTCTTTAACAACTCAGATGGCCATTTCTCTGACCTAGCATCCATATCACCAAGAAGCCCTGGTGCACATCCAGTGCTCCACATCATGATGTAGACGTCACTTATTTCTTTCAGTAATTACCAAATTGTTTCACTTCCTTTGCATCTGAACTGAGAGGAGCAGCAGATGTGAGGTGATTTGACTGAGCCTCATCACACAGGATGGCTCAGGCTGGAAGGAACCACAGTGGTGCATCTGGTGCCACCTCCCTGCTCCAGCAGGGCCATCCCACAGCACAGGACACAAGACTGTGGCCAGACAATTCTGGAATATCCCCAGTGAGGGAGACTCCACACCCTCTCTGGACAATCTGTTCAGGGCTCGGTCACTGCCCAGGGAAGAAGTTCTTCCTCGTGTTTAGCTGGAACTCCCCGGGCATCAGGGGGTGCCGCTGCCTCTCGGGCACGGCCGAGCATCCCGGGCCCCCC